CAACAAAGGCCTGGGCAGAGCTTTAGAGCTGTGTAAMAGATGTCAGGGATGAAGGCATTTCTCGGTGAGAACTACCAGTATCACCAGGGCCCTGGTGAATATATGAATGTGAACTATTGACAGACAGGGAGGCAGTGGTCTGAGAACAACGTTGGTTAATTCAGCAACAAACACATGTCCATGCTGAGGACATTTGATCTGGATGGCACCATCACACATCAATTTCAGCTTCTTCGATCCCTCTCAAATACACCCTTTGTAAGGGCTTGAAGATTGATTCTGGTCTTAAACTATATGAGGATGACACAGCAGCAGTGTTTCTCCCAAATGCCATTAAATATCTGTCATCCCAAATAACACTCATAGCCACAGACTTGCAGAAATCATTTATCGTCATTCCCTCAAAGTCTCTGATATAAATCTTCCCTATTTGACAAAGAACATGTTCAGTAATTGCTGAAACCAGGTAGGCTTTGAGTACAAGAATGAACAGAGTTTAACCAAGAGAGGGTGATGGTTTTATAACACTTTGGGCAACCCCTGTATCCCTAGGAATGTGTCACAATTATGGCTACAAATCTTTGAAACCATAAAACATTTACAGTTGTCTTCAGACCCGCAAGAAGAGTTTGCAGAGGACACAGCCACTGAAYACTACTGTAGACAGAGTAAAACTTTTCCTATCCATATTAAAACAGTATAAGAAAAAGAAATCATAGCAAAATCTAAGTGTATCTACCAATTATTTCTTTTGCTTGCTTTTTTTATCTCCACAGGAAGGCTTCCCCATGAAAGAGCAGAAAGTTTATCCACCCTGGGTACGGGCCATCTGTGTGCTGCTGGCTGCCCTTCCTTGTGTGTGTATACCTCTGGTAGCACTCTTCCAGCTGGTCAAAAGAAACCACAGGAGCAAGGATCCGAGCTTGGTACCTCCAGAAGTGTTTTCGTGTCAGGGGGCTAACAGCAACTTTTCTCATCCAAAAGAACAAATATCCATTGCATCTGTCTGTAAGTAAAAACAGGACAGCTGTTGCTAGACAGGATTAGCTGTCATTTGGTATCATCCAACCAACCTGGTATACAGTTAATAAACTTACAGAAATCACTACTACTCTATAAACAATGCTGTGTTTACTTTAATTTAAACCAATTTCACAGCTTTGYGTATCCCTCCAGCCAGAATTGAAACTTGGAAAGCCTGTCAAGTATTGCTGCTGCCTTCTGTCTTTTTCACTTTTAAAAATCTGGTCTGTTCCTAAGGATCAGCAACATAAACTAGAACACAAGCACCTACAGTTTCATTCACTGCCCTGCTCCACTACTCTGAGATGCAGAATGGAAGTTCTTCAAGAGTAAGGAGTCTTCTTTTTCCTTATAAATTTTGTAAATCCCAATACACACTTACACAGCAATCAATTTGTTGTTATTTTATATTCTCGAGCATTTCAAGGAGCAAAGATAAAGCATTAGCAGATAAAAGAATACATATTAGGTAAATCTGAACAATTAATTCTGTACAAATCTCTTATCTTCRCATATTCCAGAATTTATTGCAGTGGAAAACACTGTGAAAAAAGAAAAGTCCCCCTTTTCTTCCCCTTAATTTCTCATACTGAACACAATAGCTGAAAAGCATTAACAAAAATGCAGATGTATGCCAACCATTCAGTGAATTGCAACCTTACAGGACATGATTATGAAATTAATCTTTACTGAAAACCAGGATTTCCTGTACTTRGCTGCAGATCCTGGCCACTGTGCAATGATGGGAGATGAGGATTCCTTTTTTCAAGATACTTGAGGAACCAGCAGCCTCTGAAACAATATAGGGAAAGTATGTGAGGAAAAGGCATGACAGCTCCTTCAGGCTGAGTAATTGAGTCAAGGAAAAGATCAGGGTTAAAAAGCTGCAACCACATAAATAAGAATTTTTAACTAACTAAAGCATATATTAAACTAACTAAAGCATATAACTATATTCAYGTTTCTGACTACAGGTAGCTAAATGTTCATTAAAATCATACTGGTAACTATATGCAGCAGGTTTAAGTAGATGGTCAGAGTTCTGTTCTAAAAAAAAAAAAATACATCCAATACAGACACAACCTAAGAAAATAATTAAGCTACATATAAAAGACTTTCAAGCCTATAAAACCATCTTGAGTCACTGTCATGGCATTCAGACTTGACTTTTGAGCTGACCCTTCCAATTCACCAGAAGGGAGACTTTATGGATCACCGGACTTGCAGTTCAACCCAGGACAGGACTTTGGGGAGGACAATTTTCAGCCCCAGTAACTACAAGTGATGGCAGGAAAACACAAGCTGAAGTTACTGTTTAGCTCAAGTAGGCATGTACAAAATGTGTTGAGCAACTATTGCATGAATATAGCTTTTCCGTTGTCAGTGCAATTCTGATGTGACCTCTACCAAAATTCCCTGCCAAAACTGTAGCCTTATCCCAATAAAATTACTGCTACAATCTTCCTCTTCTTATTCATATGAAGCATGGCATCCTATAGGTACATTTTTCTCCTGAACAGCACAACTGTGCTGTTAACGTGTATGCAAACATGTTAATGTGTTGAAGTTTTACATACTAAGTGCTTTCTCCTTCTGCTCATTCTTCTCCCAATCTTTTATTTGTATATCCCACCAAATCTTTACTCTAATATTCTGCAGTGAACTCATGCCATTCTGACAGACAAGACTTTTRTAGAGTTGTCTAGGCTGCAAGAACCACCTGGGTTCTTTGTAGGGTAAATCAGTAAAAGACAAAACCACAGTCGTGGTGATGTCCAGCCTTAACCCACAGCCCTAAGACAAGGAAATGTATTAAAGGAAAAAGCCTCAGAAGGAACATTGCAACAGCACTGTAAATAAGGACACATCCAAATTATCATAATATCATAATAAACAGAAAACAGATGCAGAGAGAAAAGCATATTCTTTTCGGAACATGGGAAGCTTCCTACATTGTGAGATTTGATACCTACCTCAACTTGAGATTCGCAGTCTGTATTTCCTTCCAAAAAGAAAGCAGTGGGGAGAGAAGGGCATGCTCGATGGATGCATCCAGATACTACGATCTCCCCTAGAGGAGCTTCTGTCAAATTCCTTCCTTACAGCTCTGTGGACACACTGAAAACTGATGTTCAGCCCTACTCTTCTTCCTCCCCATATAAAGCCTCCAGCAAGCTCAACTCGCAGTGGTTTGCAACACTGACAACGCAGGTTGCACCGGGAGTTACGTTCAGTGGTTTGGCTCTCATCTCTCTACTCACTTTCTCTTAAATACTGAGACCTTAACCTTCACCGCAGCTCTCAAACATTTTGCAATTTTCCCAGCTGTCCAATGATTGTTGAAAATCCGCATTACAAATTCAGAATGCTCCTAAGKTAATTCATTTAATATTTCTAGATTCAAGTTATTCAATCTACCCAAATACTTCCTGTCAGCAATTCTGTTAAAACCCACTGCCTTGCTACCAATTAGYAGAATATATTTTACCACCATAATGCATCACACTATTTCTTTTAGAACAATTCTGTGCAAAAATAGCTTTATGGAATATTTCTACCTTCCCAACATTATAAACATCTATTTTTAGAGGAACAACTGTATGCYCCTGCCATGATTAATCTATTCCTTATTCATATGCTCACAGTATTTTTTTTCCAATCAGCACAGACTGCCTAGCTCTTCTTCAAATCTTTAAATYCTCCACTTGCTAAAACACATACCACTTTCAGCTCTACTTTCACTTGTCTTCTTGAGGGAAGGTTTTTTTTAAATGAAATAGTCTTGTGATTCCTACTGTATTCCTCCCTATTGTATTTGTGCCTGTTTACAAACAGCCTTCAGAAAGAGCAGTTACTGTTTYAAAACTGATTACTCAGCCAGTACTTATGGGGAAAGGCAAACATCAACTCAGACAATCGCAAGCAGTACAGTGTCTTCACTTTTATAAAATTACACCTCCAGCTGAGACCACCAGTTTATAAACTGAGATAATCAGTTTATATTCTTACAGAGAAAAATGGGCTAATCCAAGCCATTGGTGAAGTTTACATTCCCTCCGTTCTTCATGTTGGAGCATCCTGCTGTCTCTTCCTGCCATACAATCCCATAAAATAAAGCTTTCTGCACYGCCAGGCCTCTCTTATGCAATGCTGTCCCTGACAGTGCTCCCTCATGCACTATCACTGCAGACCACTGTGGGGTACAGGGGTGTTTCAATGTTTGAGCTGCTGGCTGGGGAGCAACTGTGTTGTTCATCTCTAGTTAGAACAATTGTTCTGTGACTTTTTAAAAGAGTATTTTAACAGTGCCACTTCACAGAAAGAAAAATAATCAAACCTGTATGACRGACTGTACATTTTGAACTGAGTTATGATGTTAATGGACAGACTGCAATACTGCAAACCAACTTCTAGCAGCTCTKACCAGTCCCTGTGTGGTAAGGGTTTGCCAGAGATGAGGCAACCATKACTTCTCTGGGCAACCCCTTCTAGTGTCTCAACACTCTCACAGTAAAGAACTTCTTCCTGGTATTGAATGTAAATTGTATTGAATGTAAACCTACTCTCTTTAAAGCCATTCTCCCTTTTTCTATCACTGCATGTCCTTGAAAAAAAATTCTTTTTGTAGAGCCAATGGYATGCAAATAGAAAAGCAATATACTTGGTCTATTATCTAATCAAGAACCTCTGTTTTGTAGGTATAAATGCACCAGCATCACTCTATACAACKGTGTATTAAAAACATAAAATATTAAAAAATAAATAAAACATACACCAAACATAACCAGCTTGGACTGTGAAATTTTGGCATATATTAGTTATGATCTCCAAAGCTTAAAATTTCTAGCCTGTGCATCTTGCTATGAAATGTATCTGCCCCRTGCAGGTAACTATTTTTCATTATATAACCTTGCATATTAAAGATTAAAATAAAGGCATTGGAAACAAACACAAATTATTGTAATTAATCAGCCATTTTATTACAAAATAGTTGGCAACACAGAGAAGCAAAAAACAGTCCTTCAAGACAAACCAGTGAAACAAGAAAGTAAACAATTTTGTACAGAACATGGTTTAATGATTCCTTCATCCAGAAGATGGGAATCATGGAACAAAACCAAGTAAATAACTTCAAACAGCCTGTGAATTTACAAAAAAACCCACCGATAAAAAGTGCGAACAAGAAGSTATTAACAAAACTGTCTGCTTTTTATGTCCTTGTATGGTATCTGAGAAACAAACACATAAAACTTCAGAGTGAACTTGCTTTTGGTCCACTCTACCAAAATAGGCTACAGAGAAAAGGTCACCCAAAGACATAGTTTTTATTTTCAATCCTGGGAAAATTATGAAATAAACCACAATCAGCTAGTCCAGCACAGTTTTGAAATCTTGACAAATAGCCGGTTCTGTCACTGCCTGCAGTAGTTTCACAATATTCTTTGGGATACATTGGCTCACGCGACTCTTACCTACCAAAATATCAAAAACAATTCATTGTAACTGCAAATTACTATTAATTCTGGTTTAGGGAAAATATTAATAAAGCAATGAAATCAATACTWAAACCAACTAAAAAGTTGAAACACCTGGAATATTGGGATTTTTAAAAAGTGCTATTATTCTTCCACCCCTAAATCAGGCTTACMAATAAAAAGGTTCAAAACGGCATGTGAAAATATTAACATAGAAATTCAATGAGCAAAGTCCTCCTATTTTGTGTTCTTGTGACATTTTCTTTCAGAACTTGATTTTTTTTAAAGTGTAAGACCATTTGTTCAACAACTCTACCCACCAAATAAGGCCTTCTGTTAAACCACAGTTACTCTGAAAGACTGACTGTCCTATCAACAGAATTACAGATAGTAAAAARGACTTTTTAAGGATTAGAAAGAGCATGTAAAATCCTAGCAACAGTTTAAGTCCATCACTAAACAGAGTCGGCAAAATTGCCAATGGTGCAGAAAGCCAGAAGTGCTCAGTAAACATTTACTCTGTATTTGGAAAGGAGACAGATGATGAATTTATATCTTATCAAGATATGGAAAGATACTTGCTTCTTTCCCCACTGGAAATAAYAGGAGGGATGTTAAACAGTAACTGTGTTTTAAATACTTAATTCTGAAGAATGATGACAACTCATACTGACAAAGCCCCTGATGTTATTTAATAGGTTTGGAAGTAATGGGAAGAATCTTCTCCCCAAAACCTATGAGCTTGATATTGATTCCCATTGAGAGTAATGGAAAGGCATGTGCAGGGAGACAGGAAAAAAACATGTTTATATCAATTCATGTCAACAACATSATCTTACAGAGGTAATAGGTTTTATATACCCAATGCAAACTCCAAAATAACAACAAAAAAATGCAGCTGTTAAGTCAACACAGGGGCTYAATTTACCAGCCTTGTTTATCTCTTGCCAGATTACTGCAGCATATAGAGACACTGGGCTAACTTCACAGGACCCCGAGAGTCAGTGACTTCCCWATCACAACTACTCTGGCATCCACACATGCTACCTGATTTCCAAAAGACAAAACTTAAAATACAATATTTAGAATTAGTTGTGATATCTCTACACAATGTTTTGCTCTGTRGTAACCTTCTCTACAAGATGATGTTCTGGTTACAGTAACATTTTCCAGGACTAAGTCTGGTGCAGGGCAAACAAAACTAACTTGTATGACTGCATAGAAAACTTATCTATCAATGTCTCTGTAAATGGATTTTAATGTGTTCTGAAAGGATCAGGACATCTAGMATTTAGAATTGTACTAAATTTAGTACTGTACTAATTTCAGAATACAAATATAAATACTATGTACAATCAGGGACTGAAAATTTGCCTTCACCTATGACCAGAGACCTCGAAGATACAGAGATAATAATGCCTGTTCACACCAAGGGTATGCATGTGATTTGTCACCACCAGATGTCCTTGCACAGCTCCACCAAGTATTGTATCAACTCTTGCAGCACTGGTGGAACAGGGCTAGTGGAAGTACAGGCAAGATTTCAGGGAACTATAGGCAAATGGAGATCTCCCAGAGACAGCACCTGAATTACCTGGGCCCCAGTGATCTGTCAACCTGTGACAGTGAMACTTTCCATTTCAAAAGTTTATAGCAAAAACAAGTCATAGCCTGTTAGTTGTTCAGGCAGCTGTTAAGTAAAGATTTCCAAAGTCTTGATCTTTCAGGAGTGTTCTTGAAGTCTCAGATATTTCCAAAAGAAAGTGTACCTGTAGATAACTTTCCTTGGACCTTTGGACTTTTCCTGCTCCACCTCCACAACACTCAGCAAGTACAATGTTAACAGGCTTTAGGAATGTTAATAGGAATTTAGGAAGAAATGTTAATAGGAATTTAGGAAGAAAGATTATCCCATTTCTCAAGGGCAATTCTTACTTCCAGAGAAGCCAACTGACTGGTGGTCAGCTTTCGCTTCCTGGGGTAGAAACTTTGCACAGAGTTAGGCCTGGACCACAGGCAAGTTTCAGGTCAGTATTGCAGTTAGGAAGCAGCTCTATGGGTACAGCAGAAGGAACCTAATGACCATAACTATTCAAACTAGGAAAACTGTTCACCACCTCTACTTCCCAGCCTATTTTCCGTGGCATCTGTGGTGGTGTGATTTTGTRGACAGCAGAGACCATTTTTATGGCTGATGCACGCAGCCATGGAAGATGGGATTCTGCTGAGCAAAAAAGCTGCCTGGGGCTATGCCTCCACCCTGAAGGTACTGTCAGATTAAACRACAAAGCATGCACAGAGAAGGATGGATGAGCTTTGGCTTGGATTGTGGTCTGCCAACAAGGATCCCAAGAGTAAAACCTTCAGCGTTAGAGGTGAACACTCAAATATGCCCTATGGACCCTGGAGAAGTGAGGCAGAGTCCACTGTGAAGTGAGTCCCAGAAAAGCCACTGTCCTACAGGGTGTGTCTACTGCATTCTCCRCTCAGTTCTTCAGTCCCTGTCCCCTCCCAGTGAAGCAAACAGCCCTGCCCTGGTACTTCTCAGCAGARCAAGCAGACTTGGGGGCTCTTGTTTTGGTGTCAGTGAGTAACTCTGAGAGAAGGAGCTTCTCTGGGAACAGCTGTTGGAATTCCGCTCCATACAGAAAGTCCATACCCTAAGGAACATGGCTGGTAAAACCTCAACCATGAGTTTGTTTCCTGTAAAGATTTAAGAGTTGTCTTGATAGATTCAAACTGCACTACCAAAAACCAGACTCTGCACTCAGGCATTGCTGCAAGCCTTTGACATGGGAAGGAAATGCTTCCTTCCAAAAAGAGGATTGCTCTCTTTTTGGGCTACTGGACCTCAGTGYAGGTATTAAAGGAAGCTTATMATACATTTCAAATAAAATAGGTGTTACTCTGGAATAAGATCCAAGAATTTCTTGGTCTTGTATAACAAAACTGCCAAAGCAACGACTCATTCAGAGCAAATCACAGTCATTGTCAAGAGTCCAGCCTTCACCATAGCTAAATTCATCAACAGTACTGTCTGCTTCAGGAAAACCTCCTGCTGTCCACTTTTAATATCTTAAAACAGAAAATTMTTTTATTTCTGTGGCTGATCTGCAGGCAGACTGCACAATTTTTTTAGGAGAGAGCTTCCCAGATGTCAGGGACAGGGACAGCTTCTTTCACCAAACAGAAGTGTCAGAGACACAACAACAACACAACTCTACAAGAATGCACCTGCAGTGCAGCCAGTGCTTCTGTTTCCAAGTGACCCTGGTGACACTATTTTGGGTAAGAGTTCAGATTGTGGGAGGATTTAATTTAGTTGCCAGTTAATCTACTTTTTAAACATAGAAGCTTGAGCTTTTGYATTTCATATAGTTAAACCTGCTGAGAATACTTAGATGATTAACCCAATCTTATTATGCCTTCTGAACTGTATAAGCTTACTGAATGCCAACCATCAATTGTCCTGTGAGAACAAAGCTCTATAATATGCAGTGCTGAAAAACATTTTAATGTGCCAACTTAATACTAAGTGAATTTGAATAAAATCAGAAAGAGCGTTAATGTACATCACACAACATTTCAGGATGAGAAAACTTTAAAAATCCATTAGTTTTTAAGTTTTATTAACCAYAAATAAAACTGTAAAAATAGCTGAATACTTACAGCGTGATAAGGGTAAAAGCAGAAATTTGTAAATGACACTGTGATTTTTCAGTTTGAGAAGGAAGGCATGGTAGCAGAGCCATTCTGCTGCCTGTCTAGGGAGTATACGAGATAATTCTTTTTCAGTAATCCCTAGGGACAGAAAAAGAAAATAATGTAACTGAAAATGATGAGCATTAAAAAAATATATCTGATCCCTCCTTTTTCTGTAAAATCACCCCAGGATTTTTTACTAGAAACCTGTGTAGTCAATCAAGTCTCATACAGCAGTAGAAAACTAAAACCTAGTGCCTGAAACACAGTCTTCAGAAAACTGAGTTTAAGAAGAAAAATGCACTATGACTGTTATCCTGCACTACACCATATTCATTCCTKATCTTTATCCCAAAATTACACTATCAGACTGCACACTCAAGACGTTTTATTTGTCTGAAACAAAAAAAACCCAAACAAATCCAAACCCACTACTTCATTGCCATCAACATCCTATACCTGCATTTATTTCCCTCAGGATAGCATAGCAGCATCTTGCAGTCTGAGAGATGAGCGTTAGGAAGAAACCAGGATTGCTTGTCATTTGACGGTTGAATGGAAGCTGGATAACACAGGCATGGAACCTGTTCACAAAAACAGACTATTTAATCAAAAGCAATTTCCAATTTCAAGTGAAACTATGACTACAAAGCTTAGGCACTATACAATGTTTAAAAGCACCCAACAGTCTTTRGCTGTATCAACACTGTTACTGCATGACTCCTCTCCCATATATACACATTCCTGGAACGTCAGACACATTCAAAGTTTGTTTCTAAATTTTATGTTGAAAGAAGATCTTGAAGTCATCTGCCTTGGTAACAGAATTSTCCTCTGAGGACAGCAACTGTCTCATGTGCAGGGAAAGTTAAACTACACATCACAGATCACACCACCAGCAAACACCCACACAAGAGTGTGAGAGRAACTAAACAAAAGCAAAACCCCACAATAAACTCTGTTCAGGTATGCAGGAAAACAGACTTCCAAATGATTCCACAGAACAGGATACTCACTCCTTTGTCTATATGGAAGCCAACTCCACAAAAATTATTTGTACCATATGCTTCCTTACACCTTAAATAACTGAAAATATTTTAGAACTGCTGATTTTTTTAAACCATTTTTTACCTTCAGACTCTGGCATTTTAATTYGCTTATGCTAAATATAGCCAATTACAATGTTGATTCTTAATTATTCAACAATGTATACAACTTGCTTATTAAATTAATCCAGCATATCACAATCACTTAAAAATATGGTGACATTTTCAATATTTAAAAGATAAACCTAAGTACCATGCTGCATTGCAGGTCTTTGGCTAATTAACCTGACATGCAGTTATCATGGTGGACAGTTATTTAAAAAAATKTAAAGGCCATTGGTAGAATGCTACCAAACAGGAACAACTAAGTGATCATATCTTACAGAGAAAAATCTTAAAACACAAAAGTTTAAGAGTTGGGCATATCAGTGCTGTACTAGACAAACCCAATTACACTTCTTGGACAAAGAACACAGCTTCAAGGAGAACCAAGATGAGTTTAAGAACAAAACTAAAATGTCCCTTCCTAATGAGTGTGAGTGCAGCAAAAGAGCAACATCTGATTTCTGTAAAGAGCAAAGAACCTCTTAAACATTTGCTGTGATAAAACAATAAAAAAGCAATTACTTGCTGCTGCCAAYCATTAAAAGTTTTCAATGCACAGAGATTAGGTTTTTATTCCAACTTGCTTATCAGTTTTGATTTCTTTCCCTTATCTGTGTTTAAAGCATTCACTTCCTCTCCTGATCAAGACCAGCTCACAAATGCCAAGATACTGCCAGCTAAGGAGCAATGAAAACATTATCTGCAGTAAGAAACTACAATTAACTTGGTGGAATGAAACCTCACTTCACCTGAAGTTATACTGGTCAAAGTTCTATATGATTTTAACAGATACAAAGTTCTAAATATACACTGGTTAATACTTAACTGATCTAAATATAAAATAGTTAATAAGGCTTTTTGTCATACTCCTGAAGCAAAACAGACTGATTTTCTTRAGGTCAGCTGTCAAAAGCAAGGCACTGAAAATCCACTTTGTGAAGTACCACCTAAACACACACACTGAATATATTCCTATATCTTATAAAACAGCATTACTTAAGAACAGTGCTGAAACAAGAATAACTTGACCTACTACTGCCATTTACTACTGAACACATCAGACATAGATATAGATGTATATAAACACTGCATGCTTACATGGCACTTTTTTCTAATTCRTAGCTCCTCCATGCGTCAAGAAAGAGTAATGAAATATTGACACTTCAGAAGACAGTGACCTACCTGCAAGCCTGGAGTAAAAGTATCTTGTAGATGTTGATGAGAACTGTCCTAAGGCTGTTGATCTAGAACAGAACATAAACAGAGCTATAAGAATATTTCAGTGTCATAACAGGATTTGTTGAAGATTTAGACAAAAAACATTTTATGCTAAACTTGGAAGACTTCTTTTATGCAACTAAGTTAACAATGCTGTGAAGGATCACTTCTAGAAGATCCTAYATTTTAGTTTATGTTAACATTTCCAGAGTATGTGGATTTCCTCTCAAAATAAACTTTTTAATGTCARAACTCAAAGCAGTTTTAATGCTCTTCATCACTAATTACAATATTGCCAAACATCCATTTTCATATTCCCACCTGAAAATCAAGAAATAAACCATGACATTTCAGTTTGAGGACTGCATTCAGTTTGTATTTCATGTTTTCCCCAGGTGTTGTAGAGGAATTGAAGGTAAGACTTGATCTGATAGAAGTGTAAGAATAACTAGAAAAAAAAAAAGTATTAAAAAGTAGTTAAATAAACTCCATGGACTAACAGACTAAATTAAATTCTGTGAARTAAGCCTCATTTAACTTCCCATGTTACAGAGATTTCCTGCTTATCAACGAGCCAGTAGCTGAAAGATGACCATAATTAAATTCATAYTGAGACAGACTAGGCCCTGTGGCATTAAGGGTATTAGCTAAGGGCTGAATTCAATACTTCAGGGCAGAAAAATTCACCCTGCTAAAAAAAGACAAATCAATAACCTTAAAACCAAAATAAATGTATTTCTTAAACACACTRTCTAGAACATTAATTACTCCAGTGACAATCAGCCTATCTATGATTCATGCAATGCAGGAGCTTATGCTTGAAGCCACTTTAGTTACTGGAACAACCCCAATGTTCCAGCTACTTAAGTCAAGCTTATCAAAAGCAAAGCCTTGTAACAAACATTGTGGTGTACTTGGCAATGCTGGGTTAATGGATGGACTTGATCTTAAAGATCTTTTCCAACATAAACAATTCTATGTTTTTATGACTCTGATTAGCATCTCCCAGATCAGTAGCATGGATGCCCTTATCAACATAAGCTGTTTCTTTCAAGAGCTCAGCTAGTGAATAAATCTCTTTGGCTGTTGATTTTGGTCCTTTGCTATGGGAAACCATGTCATATAAATTCCTTTCCTAAAATGACCAAACTTCTCTGTTTAGGAAGACTACTAAGACCTTTACCACCCTACTGGTGGAAAACCTCCTCCTAATTTTCCAATTAAATGCTTAAGGGTTATTTACACTAAAAATGGTCAGTAATACAGCAATATTATCCTTCAGTTTGAACAGTTCTTTTTYGATCTTTAGCAAATGTCTAATGCCATCTCTAATAGTCCAAGTAAAGCGTCTACAGAACTTTTCAGTAGGATACATCATCCCRTTCTGAGTTCTATGCCACTTCAAGACTGCTTTGTATAAATAGTCAAGGTTGCTAGTTTAAAGAGTTCTCTTCCTCACGCATTCTTTCCCATCTCAAGTGTACCAGAGAGAACACCTCTGATGTTGAAAGCATTGCTATTCCCTCTAGTCTGTATCAAATTAATCCCAATCTGTTTTGCAGTTAAATCAACTACACCATTCCCAAGACACCCGTGTGCTTCTCCCACCATGTACAAGATACTGATGACACTGGAGGATATAACTTATTTACCTGGAGTAATCGCAGTAAACCTGAAGTGTTTTTATATCTAGTAACAAACCACACCACGGGACCAAACGACAATCTGGTAGCTGCTTAAATTTGGAACATTTTGGGATACCATCAAGACAAAAATTCACCACTGTCTTCTTTTGGTTTATTAGAAGGCCGTACTCAGGAATACCTGCTGCTAGAGTCCTAAAACAGATATAAACAGTTAGGCCAAGGCCCCCCAGCAAAGCAGACAAAAACTGGCACCATGCTGCAAGACACAAGACCTTGAACAAAAGGGCAGAAACCAAAGAATAAAGGAAACCACAGGCAACTCTTTAGGTTAAGAAACACAGTTAGAAATAAAGGAAGTGAAGACATGAGAGGTAAATAAGTACATAAAATAAATAAACTTGAGGATAATGGAGGAAAAATTTTACACACTGATGCAAATTAAGCACATCATTCATGCAGCACTTGAGCCAAGCTGTATGAACAGCACTCACAGAAATCTCTCACTGGAAAAACAAAGATAACAAGTTATCTTTGGAAGTTAACAAAAYCAAGGAGAATCCATACAACAGGAACCTCATTCATGTGATGAAAAGTTTTTTGAGGGGAATGCTTTCCCTAAGAATGTCTTCATAGCCAGAATGCCTGCTGATTACCTGCTACAYATTGCATCAGTAGTGTCATGGACAAGCAGCAGTTTGTCTTACTTGGAAATGTGCTTATGTGCAGGCTTCATCCTTTCAAAGAGAGGAAGAGGTAGGCTCTTCTTCTTGGGGAGTTGCAGTCATAATTCTGTCTCCTCAAAACTAATTTATTGAGTCCCCTGGTTCTAATACYACATTAGGAAAAAGTGATACTCCTCCATTTGTGGCACAGAGTTCATAGGATCTGTAAACAGTTCTGGAAATCTCTCACTGAATAGCACCTTTCACTAAAGAAAATCCACACAGCTGGTGCTGAAGCTGATACAAAGACACAGACAACTTCAAAGGGCAAGAAGGACARTATTTGCATAGATACTCAAGTGACATTGTGCTGAAAAGGTATTATACAGAATAGCTTAAAGCACTCACTGTTAGTTTGATTTATCGTTTCCAGAATGGTAAACCCACAGATCCCCAGAAATTTCTTTCTGTTTTGATAAGGAAATGAGGACAAATGAAGTCTTCGAAGCACACCATCCACTAYTTCGTACAATTTATACTTCCAACTGCACTTAATCGATTGCTCCATCATCTTTCAGGCTTACAACAGAACTGCATCTTGCTGACTACTGAAAAGTATGATGCAACTAACTMCACTGCAGATACTAAGCTTTTCTTCAAGAGCTGTCCTTTGGATCCTTTAAACTGACTTCGGCATCAGCAGAACTCTCCTAGGACTGGCTGTAAAGTCCTATCCACAGAAACSAGGAACTTCTTCTGGGACTGAATTTTTAAAGTAAAGGTAGTTCTGAAGCACAATAAAGAATTACTGTTTTAAAATTTCTGTGTGAACTGCATACTAACATGCTATACTGGTAGCAGATACTCATCATGGAATGCTAATGACCAGAAAATTCTTAACAATATTGAATCAGACAAGAGTTGTATTCTTTCCCAGGGAACAGAAAAAAGCAGCATGAGTGCCCAATAAAAAGATTTTGAGAATGCAAGTAAGACATCTTAAAAATCGGAGGAAAAATGGTCTTAAAAGACAACTGTCAGCTGCTTTGATTAGCYTGCAATACTGATTTTTGCTTGAAGCTCCACTAAGGTTAGTCGGTAGGTCCTTAATTTAAACTTAAGCAGGAATCGCTGACCATCTGAACTGCAACAGTGATTAACTGGCAGCTAATGTAGCTTCAGGATTCTTCCCAAGCACAGGCTACTGCCAAGGACTCCAAAATAGCTCTTGATTGTTAACTCATAAAACAAATACCCCTRTGGGCATCAAGATGAAAAATAACTGCAAAGAAGGTATTAATGCTTATGTCTTTGGAGACTATGCCTCTTAATAGCATACCTCACAAAAGTTCTTGCCTTCATTAAATCTGGTGTAAGCAGCAAAAAATCATCAATGAGACGTATTAGGACTCTGCAATCAAGAAGAAACCAGTATTAAGATTTTTTAGTACAAAAACCTTTCAAATTATTTTCACATGTTTCAGAGCAACAATGTGCCCATTTTTATTCACAAGATGGTAGAGTCCAATATGAACTCTGAATTGAGAGTCATGAAAAATTCTTAGTTCTGCTTCTTCCCTAAACATAAATGAAAAAATTACATAAAATAAGAAAGCAAATCCACTGTGGCTTCCATGGATACAGGGTTTTACACTTTTCCAAGGGAGAATTTGCAGTACATTTCTCTACAAGACAAGGAAAAGAGGTGYCAGACCAGGTACACAAGTAGATTCTCGATGGGCTCTAACTCTGTATCTTCATTTACCACATAATAACATGTTTATGAAGCTATAGCTCGAATGTAAAACAGAATACCATCTACCACTGTAAAGGATGGAATTCCCTTTTCCAACAGAATTCAGATCCCAAGCATGCCCATATTTTTCTGGTACATCCTGCCTAACAAGAAGCAGCTCTGGAAATGATGACAGTCTCATCCTTAAAGCAAGASTACTGCCATCACTACGATCAGATCAGCTGCACCTTGGCCCAGCCAAGTCCAYAGCCATGTTATTCTTGTGACCTAAAGGACAAATTAAATTATCACTTTCATTCAACACACACCTAAGCAACATTCTATATTCTSCCCAAAAACCACCAGTTTCATTGAAGCTGCAGAGATGTTTGTGTGTGCAACTTCCTAATGAAGTTGAAAATCCTTGAAATTCAAAATTAAACATCAGAGAAAATGACTAACACATAAACTATATAGTATACATTACTGTAACAGAGTACAGAACAAAGCATCCCTACCCATCCTGCTGTATTCCACTGAACAATTTGTTTTCCATGTCTCCATAGAATAAGTTGCAAAGTAAGGAGGACAAAATGAAGCCCTGTGGAATTCCACAACACTGTAAGTAGTACCTAGCAAAGAATAAAAGAAAACCAAAAATCAAAATATTCAACAAGATAGCAATTACTGTTAAATATTTTTTCCAAGTATAACTTAAGTTTCAGTAAGAAATAAGCTATCAGTTTTCTTTATTTAAATTTGGCTTTTTTTCCTCTAGAATCTACATAGAGATCCAGAAATTTTAAGTTCAACAGCAAAAAAATAACCACTAATACACATATTCCTTTCATAMTAACAAATTGCRGGAAACAACTGCCATTAAATTAAARAAATTTCATAATTATCTCAAACCACAAGACCTCCTTCTGCAACAGACATATCCTTCATTTAAGTTTTTTATTCTTTATGTCACATCTTACTGTGGCAGCTTCAAGAGAAGTGTTCTTGTACATGAAACAAAATTCACTGAGAGAATTTTCTATGCTGGCAGCAACCAAATGSATATGGCTCACAAAACCCAAGCGAATTATTTTCACAACACTTTGAAGTAGTGAGATGCTATAATATCCATTCCACTGCTATTACATTAATTCAGACCACATACTAGTTTTAAGCACTGTTCATAAYTGTATTTTGAATCATCTGAAAATTTTCCTTGCAGTAATTTCACTTTCTTACAGACTTATGATAAATGTATCAAATGGTACTAAAAGACTTCTTACAGGTTYCCAGCCCAATAATCTGCATTTTTCTCAAAACATCAAGTGAATGYTGACTAATAGTCATGTTTTTCTTGAGAAAAATAGTCCATTTATTTACTAAACTTACGGGGTTTTTTTTGACAAATGAGAACAAGCTACTTGAAAGGGGTAAGTTCATTTCAGGACAAACAGTATTTTTTCCAGTCAAGTTGTGACTGAATTTTAAGTTGTGAAGTTGGTTTTGTCAGGGTGTGCTTTCTTTGAAATCATTAAAATTCCATGAAACACACTCACGTTGGTTAGTCATTATTAARGTATGCCACAACAGCACTCTCATTATTCTGCTGAAGGGAAAATGCATCAACGCTAGAAAAAACTACAAACATTTTTCTATTTGACTCTTTGAAAGCTTTTCTCACTTTCCCTCGATCTTGTGAGATTCTAAAACAAGTATTCTACAACCAGAAGAACAAGAATTATTCTGGTATTATTACCAGAACAAGAAGCTATTCATCCTAATACACATCAYTCTGAATTTACAAATAAAGACCATGTAAGTACTTCCTTTTTTAGACATGGTGCACATTTGCCACCTAGAGGCAAAATATAAATACCAGATCAGTATCTCTACCAATACARAAAGAAATCTGCATCACTACCTTCTGTAACATCTGATTCTCAATTTAGGAATTGTCAATAATTTTAACTTCTATTGCTAACGCCTTTTGTCTTTTTTTGCAACCTGCCAAATAGCAAAACCATGCATTAAAGGAAGGTTTAATYTTGCACTACAGGGAAATTACTAACAAGGCTTTTGTATGATTGCTTCGATGTTACCCTTGCTTTTGCTCACCACAAAGGATCCTACTATTTTAAAGTATTTTCCTTCTGAATTTAACTTGCAGATTTAAATGAAGGTTATTCCACATTCTGAGGAATAATGCACTATGTATAGTTAACATCATCCAGGTACGAAAGAGAAATTTTATTTAACATAACTTTGATTCCAACTCTTTATGCTTTTTTGGAGCTTAAACTGATGCAAATTTCAAATTAACATTAAATAAAAAYCTTGAAAAGACAGCTAGCAGAAGACCCCAGAGTCAGTCTTAGCAGAAAACAAACAAAGGAAGTATACAAAGAATAACTAATTTCTTTTTTACCTGTTCCGAATCTTCAGGATGGTGTTACGTATCACATGAAGGAAAAACTTAAACATGCTGGAACTTGTCTCATTGAAAGTCAAGCTCTAGAAATGTGACAAAACACAACAAGATTTGAAACAAAATAYACACGACAACTTTGAAGATGAACASAAATCTTAMATAAGGAAGGCTGTAGCAGCTCAAACTCCTAAGTAAATGAAAAGAGAATACCTAAACCTAAGACCTGAACATGCTGAAAAGCTGCTCACATCTGAGCAGTTAGTTTTCTATTGAAAATGGGTGGGGTTTTTTTGTTTTGCRTTAGGAAAAATCAAATATAACATCTAAATGCACTTTTAAGAGTGCTACCATAATATACTGGATTATTACAATGGATGAGACCTCGCTCTTTTGGCTGCTTTCGACCTCGCAGGACAATTTCTGTACCTGTCATGGTCTTTATGATCCCCCAAGTCTAGATACGCTCACTTGCCCGCTCTGCTGCAAAAAAAAACCACTTTGCCAGGTATTACTAACACTATCTTGCATGACTGTTCAACCCATATTTATGGAACAGGTTGTTTAAAACTGTGTAATAAAAATCCATTTACAAYCATTTCAATACCTTTAACAATGACTTAATTAAAATTAAAATAAAATTACTTATTACAGCAGACAAATGCACCCAGCTTTTGACAGAGCCATGCGAGATCATGATTACTTGCACTGAAAAGATGTGAGGTACCTGAAGAGCAGTCACCTGGCCTGACACTACACTTTGCTCAAAATACTTCATTCTCTTAAAATAATGATACACAAATGGAATTTTCCAAATTTTTCCAATGGAATACATTTTTAAATAGAATGCTGCTCTTCATGGAATATCTAGCATAGCTCTCTAAATCAGTTTGAAAAAAAAAAAMAACAAAACAAAATGTACTAATACRTGATCAGAGATCCAGCTAGTTTCCATTTTCATCCAGGTACTCATTAGACTTYCTTATTTTTGTAGGATCCTGCAACTGTACACCAGCCATACATTCTAATSCTATGTCTAGATACACAAGACCGTTTTACTTGTATGTCAGAAACTACCTTTTRTCAACCTTGTCATTTTCCACTGGCAGGTTTAGAAAAGAAAAATTTAAAGAGGAATTATGAGCCTGGGAAAAAATATCTGGTCATCTGATGCTCAGGAAATCCTGTAGAGGTTGCTATGATGGAACACCATGATTCCAAGCAATAAACTGACTGAGCATACCACCTACTTCTATGCCTTTGTCATGCTCCTTGCACAAGGAAGTCTTGAGAACAAACACTCCTATCACAAGAATTAAAAACAGAAGGATGCTTGCTTCTAGCAACAAATCACCAGTTGCAGTAAATTTAAAACACATGTGATTKTTAACCATACTTTAATTCAATGAAAGAAATCTCCTCAAACAAAATCTTTAAGAGTTGATCTTGTYTGTGTTGCACCTAACTCCCCTCATTCTCATCAACCTCGACAGGCAATCCTTAAAATAAGTCTTCTTTTCAATAAAGCATAAAACAAGATCTCAAAAAATAAATCCTGTGCAGTTTGCTACTCAACACAACACATTCTTAGCTACTTGGCTTAAAATACATTTTGCTCTGACTTCTGTATGCTTTGGAAACTGCAAATGTTGAAGCCWGTTTTTACTACGTATTTAATTTCTCACTTGAGAACTGTTGCAAGAAACAATGAAATTAGGAAAGGAAAATGTAAACATTAGTWAAAATGAAAGTTTCATACAATAATGAGATAATCTGGGTAAAGTCTAGGATTTTTTGTCAGATTTCCTGCCTGGTGCACTCCTCCCACCGAACACAAGAGATCCCATTRCAAACATCAAAGAAGAGACAATAGAAGTCTTTCCCACAGAAGGTGCTGGTTAGCTAGAAGAGAGGTAATGCCACCACATAATATGTACATACAAATAAAAATCCTAATCTTCCTCTAATTCTTCTAYAGCTTTCTTTTTCAGTAGGAAAGAAGCCTCACAATACTTACCTGTTCCACTACTATTGCATTTTGCAATGAGTCCTTCGCATTTAGATGAGACACAAACTGCTTCATGTCTGGTAYAAAGTCCTTGAAAGTAGAAACCTGTACATTCGTGTAAATTGTAAAGAAATAGATGACAAAAACAATAGAAAATTCAGTAACTGACTTTTATTCATTGGCGGTCAAAGGATCAGCCTTATTGTGTTATTTTAATCTAACAATTCTATTACTATGAAAATGAAATGTCTCACYCCCAGATCTCTATTTCCACAAAACATTTATTGTTATTTTTATTAGACTGAGTAAAAACTTTAAAAGATATGGGCTTTACAGAAACTTTTCTACCTCTGGAAATGATCTAACAGTACCAAAAAAATGTTTATTAAGTACTTAACCAATTCAAATTGCGACTAAGGAAAGCTATAAAGGAAAAATTTTCCATGGACCAGATTATGTTTACAACAGCAAACAGAAGAAATCAGGAAGTCATACATGTCTCCTATAGCTCTTCCTGGGTTTTCCACTTGGGGTAACCATAATCACAGCATAGCGCCGTATGCAGTACTGAGTTTTCTTCTCAGGCTTCATCACCCGTGAAATCACTTCCACAAGTTTATTGTGAGGAATGGTATCAAAAGCCCTGGACACATCAGCCTGAAACAGAAGAAATATCCTCCATTGTGTACTCATMAATATTGCTGTTAACATCGTGGTAGCATAAATAAGGTATTGCTGTAGAATGTAAGCATGGCTGAAGAACAGATCACATGAGAGTAAAATTATTGCATCATTCATGCCAAAATAAAAACTCACYACTTATCTGAAAAATCTTTCCCCACTCATCAAGAACTCCCTTAGAGGGATATCCAAATCATCATTTTTATCACAATTCATCTTATTAACAGAAATTACACCATAAGCAGCCTTAAATCTAACACTTAACCCTCAAGTACTGAAGTTAACTGCTGATGTTTTTATATGTTTAAATATTTTAAGATATTTTCCTTACCATATGGCCACAGAGAGAACATCTTAGACTTTGGAAATCTGCAAACCTATGTATTTTATCTTTCCCAAATCTCATAATGGAAACCTATCTCTGCTTTTAYTTGTCAGTAAAAACTGAAAACTTTCTGCTGCTTTCTGTAGAAGCAGCAGTTTTAGGACTATTAATGATATATRTCAATGACRTGACCTTTTGGCTTGAAAGAAAACGAGATGAAATTATGAAAGTTATTTCAGGACAGGATGACAAGTGACTTATGAGAGATGAGAGAGAAGCCCCACTATGATATACATTAATCTGTGAATTTACATACCTCAGTATACATTGCCCCAATTCAAAGCTATGAATTGAGSTCAAAGCCACGAATTGAGCTCAAACACAAAACATCACCTGCTAGACACAACTGAAAAAGAAAAGTGTGTGAAGAAGAAACTCCTTCAAATAGTGGGCTACAACAAGCACTGATTTTTTCAAAGTGGAAGAAGAATCTTTTTGGAAAGGCATTGACCACAAGTCACGTGTTCATTTTCAACAGAAACTAATGAYGCTGAGATAGAAGAGACCAACTTTTTAAAAGACACCGAATTCATCCATATGCACACAGCAATTTTTTTCTGGTTTCCATATGGCTCAAAAGCCTATCTGATCTTATACCCAACCAAATGCAACGGCAAAAAATTCAATGCATGTACAGAAGCAAGAACTCCTACATGACAGCAAGATGGACAGAAAAACACCCAAGTAATGGAAGCTCTACTACAGGGATACCCATCCACAAAATGCACCCAACCCACATACCAAAAAACTAATCAGTCTATTAGGTATGCACAGAATTTTATTTTGAAAAAGAAGTAATTATGCAGTCAGATCACAGATAATACAGCTATAAAAGTATCTGCACAAGCTGGTTTAGAAAAGGAGTTTCAAAATGTAATTAAAAATACATACCTTTACACAGTAGAAATGAGGAATTTCACCACCAGATGCAAGAACCTTTCTAACAAACTGCTTCCATACCTTGTAGATATCATCTTTCCCAAACACTGAAGAGCCCAAAAAACTGGTGTTCACAGTTCGTTCATAATTTAACACACTAAACAGACTTTTCAGTTGAGAGGTGTAATGATTCATCTAAAGAGACCAAAGAGAATCACCTTAAATTATGCTGAAGCACAATTAATTCTGTGCAGTACAAAGATTTCACATTTACCTGAAGTTTGAAATTAAATTTATGTATTTACTATATTATTGTGGTCCCCGGATCTTTCAGAAAGCCTGAATATCACTGCAGTAACTACTTCAAACTGACAAAAGAGCTTTGGAGATCCTTTTTTTTTGGTACAGTTAAAATATGGGAAATGTTTTTGCTCCTGTACTTGACTCTTGGTAATCAAGGTGCAATAGTTACACAGATAAACAGATGAATCCCAGCAAAGAAAATCACCATTGATCTGAAAATAACTTCTTAAATATCATTCAGTCTGTCTATTGGAGATGACAGTAACAAGAACAGCAAAGAGAGGGTGTGCCCTGAGACTTTATACCAACTCCAGCTGCACCATCAGCTGAGCCTCTGGAGGTACTTATCCAAGTAACTGAGCAAAGATTTAACACTCAGCTGTGGGAAAAGTCAACTACCTCAGAACAGCACTGAAGTCATGAAGGTTGATTAGCTCTGTAAACACTATAATGTGGAATATTAGGTGAAATAACACTTCACACTTCAGAACAGCTTTTGGCTGATGCTCTTTTCATGGTCTGGGATCACATGGTCTGAACAGCACATACTAAGAAGCTGTTGACACCTCAACCATTTGGTGAACATTCAATCGTGTGAATGAGACTCAGCCTTAAGGAAAAACAATTAATGCAGCCATACAAGATAGTGAAACTGGGCTGCCACTATGTCTTGTGGTTAACTGCCCTGTTAAATAGGTTATTCTGGGCACTGACTGTTCTATCTCTGTTCCCACACTGCAATTCTCAGCTTCCTTYGATCTCTCTACTGTGCTTGTTCCAGCTTCCTTGGCCTTCCTTAGATCCCCTTCTGTAACACAGCTCAGCACTGTTCACTGGCTCCACAGGCAACTTCACAGATCAACATCRGTATTCACGCACCATCAGTATTCAGGCAAATCCCAACAGGCCAGACTCACCCATACTAAAGAAAAYGGTATTACCTTACAAGCCATGTGATTCTGTCAGGCTCATTTCCTTAAGAAACATTTGCAAACAGAAGTATGTGATWCTGGAACTGGAGGCTAGTGGCAACTGAGCATTGGAAAGCGAGAATCTAAGCTSCAACAGACCCACTCTGCCACTCTGATTAAAATGCTCTCATCCACTCATTAGAACTAGTTTTATGTAACAAAAAGCCTTACTCTATTTATTAGTTACCTACATCAAATGCACATGAAACAATAAAGAAAATAAAAACCTTCTTTTGTCTGCTTTCCTTGCTGAGTGCTCGTGCTTCCACAATGCCGCTCACTTTTACAACGGGTCTCAACCCATTTCGTTTGGGAATAAAGCGAAGCTTTGATGCCACAGGAACAATTTTTTGTTTACTGATAGATTCAATCTCCTTTGAAGACAGAGGCTGTAGCTGTACTTTGTCAAAATGGTTTCTAAAATACAAATACACACTTAGTGTAAGCAACAGGAAAAGCAGTAAATTAAAATATTTGATGTTTTTATAACRAAGCCAAGTATTTTTTTAAGGTAATACAAACACTATACCTCTGCAGAAAGTGACATGAAATCCTGAATTTCAGAACAGTATCACAGTATCTTAATGACAGTATGAGACCACACATTTCTGCTTGATGCAAATAAAACTCCCTCTTAACACAAATTAAAATTTAAGCACAGATTAGCAGAATACATGTGAACATTATGAAATGTTTTATGCAAGAAACAGGAAGATGGATATTGCTTATGGTTTCAGAAGTTGGAAAGACATTAATAAAATTTAAAAGAACCTTGTGAAAACTATTTCAGGAGAACTCCTGGGAAGGACTGACAAACTGTAATGGGCTGTTCTACTCCCAGCATTTAGGGGATCTGCCACTTACTAGAATTACAGCAAACTGAGGTGCTAGGATACACAGACAACAGAGGGCATTCAGATATCCAGGACTGATCTGAGGAGCAGGTAGCAGCTCAAGTGAATAGCAGAAAATGATGAAGAACCAAAAGCTCCCAAGTCACAGGTTCTGAGCATTCCAGGTTCACCTTAACAGGAAATGTGCTTTCCCCTCACATTCCATCTCAGGATTTACAGCTCRATGTAACTTAGTCAAAATCAATACTTTTCCATATAGTAAGTCAGAAAAAGGTAGTGGAGCAAAAGACCTTGCTTTTACCTAAGATGCAGTTTAAAGTACTCTGCTTGCAATATAAAACACCTGGATCAATCTCGTGCACTGCTAGTATTGTCCAGAAGGACAACATRTGCCCTACAGAGTAGTGGTTATGATATTTACCTGGGAAGTAAGTGAGGCAATTCAAGTCCTGACAAAAGAAGGGACATGAATCTAAATTTTCATGAAGACTTTTTATATACCACACAATCCAACAGGCTGGTTTAGYAAAAGGAAGCCACACTGTTACAAAAGGCAGTGGGTGAATGGTGGAAACCTGGTAAAGATGCTCTAGGAGACACCTGAGAGGCCAAGGATGCAGATTAGAGAGGCAAACAAATGCTTATCTTTTGTATGCCAACACAACTGAAATATAAGCCCATGATCAAGCTGCTTGGGACACACGGCCTGAGGGATACAGTGCATGAYACCTGTGATACAGTGGCATGCAGGGCCAGTGAGTTGAGCTATGGAAAAGGTTTTGAGGCTTTATACTCAAAATTTGAAATTAAATTCCTGATACACATGCTGCTCAAAATAAAGCAGAAAGGACTGCTATTCCACAGTGAGAGACCACTATTGTTTATAGAATCACATTCTTTCCTGAACACATAAAACACCATCTAGTATACTATTAGGTAGATAACCAAGACAATACATGTAACTCCAGTTCAATAGAAAAAACTTAACCCTTAATCCAAATCTTCATCCCTTTACAGCTCACATTCAAGACTGGAACGAAAAAAACTCCAATGAAATTCTATCACTATGTTTAAAAACATAACTTCCTTTGAAAGTGAATGTAGGGAGTGTTAACAGCCTGCATGGGAGAAAAACGCCACGTCCTTGGCTGTCTTGAGAAAAAGAAGATTAGAATGTAGAATTGATAATGCAGGTGGCTTACAATTATAAACATTACTAATACTGTAGCTTTTGCAAACTTACTAATCTAATGCTGATGAGTAGAAAGTGACAGCCTCACTGACTAATGTATGTGTGACACAAATGTATGCACTGGTTACTAAAGTAGATAAAAGGAGCCTGTCCCAGAATAAAGGGGTTACTTTTTGTGTGTACATGTGTGTCTTTGTGTCTGTTATTTTGTGTTGGCTGTCTAGCCAACAGCGACAAGTGAAGACAAAAGTTATTGGCAGATCTTCACTACTRTCTCTGGCCAGCAGTAGAACTGGATGTCATTTTGCCTGCAGCAACATTCATTGTTTATTTCATGGCATTTATAGCAGTGCTAATGATTTTGAATGTGTGTTAATCTAGCAGCCACTGCACCATAAGCAGTGGCACTCACAATGCTGTTAAACACTGATACTTSAAGGAACTTGACTGGACAGTCCTGTTGTCTTTTGACATCTCACTGCAACTGGATGGTGGAGATTCAGAATTTCTGCAGCMTTTTTAATCCTCAGCAGCCACTGTGTGAGGCAAGGGCAGGGAGGGCATGAGCCTTAGCAAAACAGGTGCTGTCACCACATTATTGGGTTCATTATTTTTATAACAAAACTTGACATGCTGCAGGCTGTGTAACTTGAAGCAACTGTATCATGAAATACTGACTTTTTCTTCATAAAATCTGTTTTTAATTTGAGGAGTGAAGTTTGGTATAGTTTCAAAAATTAATACAAAATTATATGTGTACAATATCAGAACAATCTCACCTCCACCAATACAGCAAGGCTAACATACAGACCCAGGGCCCCTTTCAGAACCATGCTCCATATCCTTGAGCAGGATTCTGYCCAGGACCATCTACTTTAGGACAGTCCTTCAAGAAGAGGATTTACTCCCCAATGACAATGCAGTGCAAGGATAAGCTCACAAGTAAGGTCCATGCCCACTCAATCCAGCCTGTTCCAACTATTCTCTTCCTCCAAAGGAGGACACAGAAGAACTTAATCAGTGAAAACCAATGCCTTCCTGCGAACCAGCTCAGAGCAACTGCCTGGAGCAGCTCCAGCTGAGAAGAACCAGAAAAACCACAGAACGGCCATTAGGGCAACAACTGAGGTCACCAGATGCTCTTCCTCCAGAGAAAATGSAAGAAGCTCAAAAGCCTTTGGCACGAATTCACCAGCAATGCCTGCCTGGCTAAGAGCAGACAGAGTCTGAACAGCCTCAAAATGGCCACAGCAGCCCAAACACCTGTATCCCACTATTTGTAAACCCAGATTTCTCTCCTCCCATGTGAATTTGGCAGCCGGCCACCTGTACAAATGCAGGAAGCTGGACTCGTGGCAGACCTCGTACCACACATCACACTTCAAAAAGCAGCGCTGAAAGCCCTGTCAGTGAAGCTTAAGTGCAGCCGCAGGGATCAGACTACAAGTCCTAAACTATGAATCCCGAGGCTAAGAGCAAACATCCTGTTCTTAGAACACGCCTTTGGCAAGCACGCCACAGTACTTCCTTGGGATGTTTCTCCAGCTTCCAACAACATGCAGTTTAGAGACCTTCTAAGCCAAAGGTGAGAAATGGCTTCCTGCATGGTAAGGAAATGTGTGGGGAGGAAATCAGAAGAAAGAAGATCCTAGATTAGGGTATTTTGAGCTCAAAGCACTTTGTCCTTACACATCAGGCTTTTCTGGGACACTGGGAAGAGGAACAAAAGAGCTAAATCCCAAGTTGCTTGTTTTCTTTTAATCACAAACCYCACTAAAAACAACAGTATATGTACTATGTAAAAGTCAGTACTTTTATCATACTTTGTGCCAAAAAACAGTAATCTACAGTACAGTGAAACTACAGAAAACACTAATTGCAACACTACAGCTGTTAGTTTGAAGACAAGACAAACAGAATGTGTGGGATTGAAAATTTCATTCTACTACTACTATTWAAAGTGCATATTCTGTGCTACAACCACAAGAAAGATCAAGACCCCAGTAAGTGCAAACACAAATGCAAGGAGTGGCACTGGAGTTATCAATGTTGAAACCTGGCAGTGACTGGGCAGGACCGGAAAAATCACACAAGTTGTAACATTGCGGACCAAGAGACCACTTTAAAAGCAAAAGATTCATTATATAAAACAGCCACTAAAACACAAGACATMAAGTATRCTTATTTTTCACAGTTCCAAARTTCTCTCAGACACCAGAAATTTATAATGATAAACCTGAAAGATGTGAATTGTAAAGATGGGTGCATGACAYTGTTCATTAAAATTGCCCTTAGGTATTTTCTATCTTCTTATTTACAGTTTAAAATTT